CACCATGATCAAGAAGGTAGATCATCGCATCTTTATCGTCAAACTTTACAGCAGTCTCGATGATGCCCTTCGGCTTATTGAGATCTGCACCAGCTGCTACTAGCTGCGGGAGGAACTGTGTGCGTTTGTGAGTGATACACTTGAAAGCGGGATATTCTGCCGCATTGAAGTTGGGGTCTGCGCCGTGATCGAGCAGATATGTAACAATCTCGGGGCTGTTATCACGGATGGCCGAGCAAAGTGGTGTGTAGACGTTATCCTTCCGTACGTTAGGCGACACGCCAGCTTCCATGAGGATCTTGATGGATTCAAGCTTCTTCAAACTAGCGGCCAATTCCATGACACCAGGCGTCTTCTTGTGGTCGGCACCACGCTGGAGAAGAAGCTGCAGGGCCTTTGGTTTGTACGTCGATGGCCACAGAGGATGCTTGGGACCAGGGAGATTGGGGTTCGCACCGTGGTCAAGCAGTACCGTCATCAAATCTATGCGGTTCGCTTGGATGGCTTGGAACAAGGGAGTTGTACCCTCTCCGTTCTTCGCATCGGGATCACCCTTTGCGCTCAACATTACTTCCACGCACTTCGGTGATGTTGTCTTGTTCATTGCTGAGATGAGCGCGGTGGAGCCGTTTTCCATGATAAACCCAATGTCACCGCCGCTAGCAAGGAACAGCTGGACGAAGTCGATATAATTCTGGGATGCAGCCGCTGATAAAGGTGACTCGGAGTCAGGGCCTGCCGACAGATTTGGGTCAGCACCATGCTTCAGCAGTACTTTGGCGCACTCGATACACTGGCCACGGGTAGCAGCGAACAAGGGTGTAACGCCTTCACGGTCGAAGCCATTGGCATCCGCACCGTATCGAAGAAGTAGTACAAGGGTCTCTACGTCTTGATTGTGTACAGCGACCCGAAGCATGGCAGATTCGACATGTGGTTCTGCTTTGGCGCCACCTTCAAGCAATTGTTCGAGTATCCGGTGTCTTCTCTGCTCGACAGCATTGAACAATGCTGCCTTGCCACCAACGTGCTTTGAACCTCCACTCTGGCGTGGACCCCAGTTTTGGGAAGCCACAAGGGAATCGGCCTTGATTGCGGAATGGTGATCTTCGTAGCGCTCACCGACGCTGAGAGAACGTAGCTTCTCCTCTATGGGCGAAAGACCCGAGTATGACGAAGCCACTTCCTCATAAACCGGGTCATCGTGATAGCGGCCATGCGGGTGGTACATCGTGTCTCTAGTTGATTCACTGGAGCGGGCGCTTGGTGGTGCTCGCCAGTTCTTGTGGAGCTCGACGATACCTGACGCCAGCTCGCTCTCATCTTGCCGGGAAATTGAACGGTTACTGTGATGAGAGAAGCCTTCGTCGTGACGAAGTTCGTTGAGGGACGGCCTGTCCATGCGACCGGCAGCAGGCATCATTGGTGGGTCTCGGTCTCCATGATGGCTGCTGGCTTTTGGCGGTGTCGGTGGGAGATTTGAGGTTGGGGCAGGATGTACAGGAGGGAGGGATGCTGATTTGACTGGGTTGAGACGCTCCAATGCAGCTATCAGTCCTGCATAACCGATTCCCATCGAGGCGTCTGCTTTGGCTTCACCGATTGTCCATCGGAACATGGCGGAGCTGACTTTTAAGGAGTCACGACTCCGCGATAGTGTGTGGCGCATTTTCTCAACATCTGTATCGGCGAACATCATTCGAAATTTCATGCCAAACCCGCCTTTGTGGTTTTCCTTGTCAACAACTGTAACATGCTTGTTAGAACTATCGCATTGACGGGTATCTGGGCCCGAAATCCAGGCAGGTAGCATGTAACTTGTCACTGAAACTTACATTTGTTGACCATCTGAGCGAGAACGGCAAACTCCTCGCCAACCTGACGGACTCGTCTGTCCAGCTCCTGGGTAATTTCAACGGGGAGCCCATTGCGTGTCTTGTTGGCCTCTGCAACACCCGACTCGATAGACCACAGTACCTGATCATCACTGTGAGCTTCATTGTAAGAGAGATCAGTGGTAGAATCGTACCTGACACAGTTCGACGAACTCTCTTGACAGTTGCTCGAAGCCTTGTAGAGGGACCTTTGCAGTGCTCAGGTATTCGAGCATACGAATCGCAATGGTGTTGCCCTGTACATTGACACGCTTGCACAGGTCAAGCGATGTTTCTTTTGCTGGAGCCATAACGAAGATGGAAAAAACGAACGAGAACTGGGGAAAAGAAGAACGCAAGCCAACAGGCGGGTCAATGAGGCATCTTTACAGTCCACCACTGGGCGGCCCAGACTCGAGCTCATCTCCAAGCAACAACAGGTACCACGGTAAGCCAGCCCATTCGCTTGCCTAGCCTGTATGGGTGCCGAGTCAAACACCCGCATACTAACGAATCGCGCGTATAGCTCTAGCTCCGAAACTTGTAGCGGAGGTTCGAGAGGCCCGAAATAAGGTTTAACCCTCGCCTGCTCCGGTCCAAAGCCCACTATCTGCTGGGCGAATTTCCAACCTGTCCAGGGATGCCCTGGGTATGACAGGTGCCATGCCACGTGAAAGTGCACGCCCGTGAGGGGAAACTAGGGACTGGTCCGATGGAACCAAGAGACAATTTTCTGTTTTTGCGAACCCTGCCCCATCCTACCAAGCACCGCGCTTGTATGCCAGTCCTAGAGTACCGGTCGACTCCGTTCTAGGGCTGTTCTAGCTGGTGCTGATATCACAACTCGGGACAATGTTCTTCTCGGTATTGGCGCTGGGCACTAACGCCAGGCGGGCATCTTTGGGCTGATCTCTGTCGCGAGTTTGATCTGCGCTTAGCATGCGTCTTGTGCTACCACTTGCATGTGTGTGCTGAACTAGAAGGTGATAACGCAGCTTAGGGATTGGTGTCTGCAAGGCCATCTCAGCATTACTCGTTGTTCAAATCATCACGGTTTGTGCAATTCTTCGACGTCATCCACACAGGTCCAAGGTAATGATATCGATCAGCCAGCCGCTGTGTGTGTATGCATACCCTCAATCTCCCAAGAATGGGGTGCCCGGGTCGGGCTGGCAAAAGTAATTTAAACATACGCCACAACCCAGGAATGCGATTGTCATGGTGGCTGGTGTCGTTCATGCGTTCGTACAGTCCCTAGTCCAACGCAGTGCGGAGCCGGAGGAAACCGAGGCTGGAGCACAATGTGCACCGTTTTATTGTGCTTGGCTGGCAATCGGATAAAAGAATCCTACGCATACGTGATTTGCCGAGCACGGCGACGTAATGGTCGGGTAGGGGTGCCCAGTACGGGTATGGCATTTGCTTCACCATCCCTCGCTGCCGAGTCAGGTGTGGTTGCGCGGCACACTGATCAAGATCTGTCATTGTAGCCGTCGAGTACAGCTGGAGGGCGACTTGATTGCCGCGCCCACAACATTTGTCCGGCACTTTCAAATAAGTACCAAGACTACTACTGTGAAGTGGGCCTTAGCATCAGCGCTGTCGAAAAGACTGAAGGTCTAGCCAGCTTGCCCCTAAGGGTTTGCATTGTCACGATACACTTTGGTCGACACGCAAAATAATTGGCGCTAGACTGTGGCAAGGTTTCGGCAATGCGGAGCAAAAGTTGAAACTGAAGCAAGTAGTCCATAGCTAGGTAGCCAAGGGTATAGCTATCGTTTACCGAGGGGTGATTAGGATTTCTGAGTTCGTCGGTACCGCTTTGCTTGGGTAGTTAATAGTTGCCGGGGCCTCAAAAATGGACGTTGCGGTCTTGACGTGACAGGGTCTTTTCTAAAATCAGAGTTAAATTGGATCCTCCAGGCCTGCAAATCCTCCGCGATATCCTCCAAGGCTTGGATGTTTCAATTGCCCAAAGCACACGCTAGAGCGCCACTCAGCACTGGCCTTGGCCACGCTACTGGACGGCCAGGGATGACCTCCGGGAAGACAGAGGAGTCTAAGCTGTTCTTGAGCACTCGGCCGTTTATCGCTGTTCAAGCCTGCGCTGTGCCTGTGATTTTTCGTTTGTCCGTAGCGGGTGCGAGGACCTTTCCCCTGAAGGAAATAGTAATCAAGACATAGGAGGCGAGTCCACATGGCGAGCCTGTATTTACGCCGATCAAGCCGGCGCTACGTATCTTGGACAAGGAGGTGTGTATGCAAGAAGCCAAGAGCGGTGCAGCAACACGAGGCTGGAAATGAACGTCGAATAACTGTAGGGGAGTCGGGGCTCAAGGCGGGGTCATTGTATTCACATTGGCATAGAGAACCTCACTCGAGTAAGCATAAGTACATGAGTATACAGTATGTCCGTGATAATACCGGAATGTCAAACCGGTGTACTGGACTGTTCCCGCGCTTTAATCCACATGCGCCATTGCGTTATGGCCCGAGGCTTGTGATGGTACCATGGCCATGGGCCGAAAGGCTAAGCAAGTAATCGTACCAATGTTCAAGTGGCTACAATCAATATCTGTCAGAAGGTCTTAGCCCTCTGAATAAACATCTGGTAGAGCGCGAAGCAAAATGTACTTTCGGGCAGCAAATTGGATATGCGCCTTTGCCCTTGCACCAACAGAACACATGATCAGTGCTTCCCACCGTTTCAAATTGGCGCATCGTGGGCGCAATGCGAACACGACAGATCCCTTGATCGATAAGCGAAAGCAGATAACTATGGCGTTTGAGTTCGAATTTGAATGGGTCAAGCCGTGTTATCAGCAGTGCCGCAGCCAGTATAGCCTGCTGAACAATGTAAATGTTTGCCTGGAGCAGTCTAGTCCGTTCCATTCGTTTGCAGTGCTGCAAGGGGGTTAGTGGTGGCGCGTTGGAGGCTTGAAGTGCACAACAAGCGTTGATGATGGCGTCAGGGGAGATCTAGATGGATTACGGAGGAAAAGTAGAAAAGTCGCCACTGTGCAGGGGAATACACGGTAATGACGCCTAGTCACGTGCTAATCGAACAGGGACGCACGGTCCTGCTAACCGGCGCGCAATCCAAGTGCAAGCTCACTGTGCCTCCAAGTCCAATAACAGGCCATAAGTCGACGTGGCGACCACCGACTAAGGAATCCGCCATGACCGACCAACAAGTTTCGCTCCCAGAACCCGGTGAGGCTATGCCGGCGGATCTGTCTACTTTCAACATGGCCGATCTTGTAAAGACGCCGCATAATGCGCGTCTATACCAGGAAGTGCAGAATCTCAAGAAGCTCATCAACGAACTAGTAGACTTCCAGCTCGCTCACCCCAAAATCTCAAAGGCGGAATCACGCGAGGACATTGACAATGAGAAAAAGGCGATGCGCGAGATCGAAAAGAGGGAAAAGTACATCCGCGCACAACTGTCCATCATCAAGACTCTTTATAGGCAGAGTGTACTCAAGGTGCGCGAAGAGAAAGCCAAAACATCAGACGACAGAGCTGTCAACGATGCGCTCATTCTGGGTCTGCACAACTTGAAGTATGAGGAGCAGTCGCTGCGCTCAGAGATCTCTGCCGCTGAAAACTATGAGTACGTTCCCTTGTGACACGTTAGGCTGATTGCATTACTAACGGGCGCGCAGTCACAAGTACATGAAATTACCCCTGATTCCCCTCGAAGAATTCCTTGAAGAATTCCCTGAACACAAGGAATCCACCGAACACGACCTCATGACGGCGCGCATTGAGCACGAACACCAAGTCCGTCTCAAGCTGGAAGAGCGCCGACAGGAGAAGCTCAAGCAGAAACAAAAGCTTATTGCCGAGGTTAAAAAGGGCAAAGATGATCTGACCAAGCTTGACACAATGGTTGAGAAGTTTATCGAGGCTGCAGAGCCGATCAAGAAAGTGCTGTCGATAGAGTAGACGAATACCGCTGGATTTCTGGAAATATGACACAAGCCAATGGGTTCTTCATGTGTCTTGACCCATTTATATGGAATGCTCTCAAGGAACACACATCAACAAGAATAGCCAACACAGCAACTCCGGTCCTCAGAACAAGCCTCGCAATATGGATCACCATTAAATCTGTCACATTGCGGAGCACTGCTGCGTTGAGGCTATCAAAGGAGGGCCAACGCAAACCCTGGTTGGTAGACTAGCTTATGGAGTCGGGGCATGCGTGTCAGAAGTGTAGAAGGTGCTAGCGGATATCTTCATCGCGATCTGTTCAAATACCTTAACCACCGGTTACTCGTCGGCAACATAGAATCTATGCCTGTTTTGGGGTTACGCGTTGGAATGGTTAGAATGACTAGAACCGCCAGTCGCAAGCAGGACAATTGCCAGCTGCGCAAGGATGGAAGTTCTGCTACGTTATAAATTCGGCCTGGCTCATTCAAGTATCTGTTACTATGCGAGAATATTGCATGGATTTCTTGAGCCGTATGGCTATTCAGCGCAAATTCAAATAATTCTCATCGAACGTACATTTGTATATTTCTAGTATGATGATGCAATTTCCGTGATCCTCCTGTTGCAAGCTTTGATCTTTTTTTCAGCTACTCCGCAAGCAGATATCAGTTCTCATCTATTACTCAAAAGTGCAAGGAATACAAAGGTAAGACGATAAATATGTGGAGCAAAGCACCATGCATCTGAAGCCTGAGTGGGGCGGGACCCTGGTCTCCTATCACTTATCTTAGCGCGTCAAGGATCTGCGGACATGCGATCACACCTCCGCGTTCACCTTGTCCATGTTACGCCGCCCCTCACCTCGTCCACCTCTACCTCTACCTCTGATGTCTTCGTTCCAGGGAAGCGCGCGTGTTTTGAGCGCAAGTTCGTATGTGCCTGCCAACGCTCGGAAGAAGGGAGAGAAATTGTCATCTCCCGCCCCAGATGCCTTAAGTTGTATCCGTACCATCCACTCGTTGTTTCCTATATCCGAATCGTGCAGAGATGAAGAGCCACCCGCGAAGCGGCGCAAACTTGGCCATGACGATACTGCCCCCGCAAAACCACCACAAGAGTTCAGCGACGAGAAGAGCGTTGTTCTAGTCAAGATATCTCTGGATTTGGTGGGTACATATACTTCGTTTCCATGGTACTAGACTTACGTGAATTGCAGAACATGCCTACCACATCGCGCGAGGACGAAGACATGACATACGTTTCGACTGAGCCGCAAGAACCCATAGCGCTTGCATTGGAAAAGGTTCGAAAAGATCCCTCCCAGTCGGCTCTCCATATGGAGGTCTTCAATGTGGTTAGAAACACAGGAGTGGAAATAGTTGTCACAGCCCCCGCCTCTCTGCTAGATTCGATATCACCGCATCTTCGGAACGCCGCCACGCTCGCTACCACACGACACGGGAAGATATCCAAGTCTGGACCTAGGGTCGCCTTTTGTCGCTGTCTTCTGCGTCGGTCCGCACCTGAACGAGTCACATACAAGTTAGAAGTTGAGATACGCTGGATACTGGGCATATCAGTAATTGAAGATGAGAATATTCGCGGTCATTGCGCCAACGAGGACCTTAGGCTGCTCTCCACCTACATGAGGGATGCCGTTCCGCAGGACAACAACACATGGACTCTGTCTGATTTCTACGACTCGATCCATGTACCACCGCGGGATCTCAAGGTTTCACCCCGCATTGGGCAGGCATTGACCGAGACGAAGCTGTTGCCATTCCAGCAACGGACAGTGGATTGGCTTCTCCGACGAGAAGGAGTCACTTTCTCTCCCTCGGGTGCGCTCGAACCTTTCGTCAATACTTCACCGCCATCGTTCAAGCCAAAACAGGATGCGACAGGGCGATTGTGCTATGTGAGCCAGCTCCGGGGCACTATAATAACTGATCTAGCTGAGGCTACAGCGGATACACTGAGGTTACTAAGAGGTGGGATACTCGCAGAGGAGATGGGTCTGGGCAAGACAGTCGAACTGATTGCCCTCATGTCGCACCACAAGCGAGAAATCCCTCAAGGCAACGTCTACGACGCATATACAGAGACCCATGTGAAACCTTCTGGAGCTACATTGATCATCGCCCCGTCCTCCATTCTGGAGCAGTGGATAAGCGAAATGCATGTCCACGCACCCGAACTCAAGGTCTGTCATTACACAGGGCTCCCGCCGGCATCAGCACGCAAAGATCGCCACGCAACAGCCACGGTTGAGCATCTTATGCAACATGATGTAGTTGTAACCACATACCAGGTTCTCTCGAGAGAGGTTCATTTCGCGGTTCCTCCTCCGGATCGCAGTTCTCGGCACACTAACCGCCGTGAGCGCCGGAGCAGCCCGCTCATGGGGATATCTTGGTGGAGGGTTTGCCTCGATGAAGCTCAAATGGTGGAGACTGGAGTTAGTCAGGCCGCCAGGGTAGCTCGAATGATACCACGTTGCAACGCTTGGGCAGTCTCTGGGACTCCTCTGCGCAAGGATGTTCAGGATTTGCGTGGTCTTCTGGTCTTCCTTCGTTGCGATGCTTATGCAGACAGCAAAGCCGTTTGGGGCCATTTCGACAAGAGTTCCTTTAAAGATATTTTCCATGAGATTACAGTGCGGAATACTAAAGACAAGATTCGAGATGAGCTGCAGCTGCCGCCGCAGAAGCGCATTGTCATTACTATTCCGTTTACTACTATCGAGGAACAGCACTACGATGAGATGATCCGCCAAATGTGTGATGCTTGCTGGCTCACACCCGAGGGTTTGCCATTGGAAGAAGGCTGTCAAATAGAGGATGCGGAACAAATTGAACGAATGCGAGAGTGGCTGGTCAGGCTACGCCAGACATGTCTCCATGCGAACGTGGGACGCAAGAACCGGAAAGCATTGGGCACAAGGCATGGTGCTTTACGTACTGTGCATGAAGTTCTTGAGATCATGATAGAACAGAACGACAGCAAATGGAAAGCCGAAGCCCGTGAGATGATTCTTTGCCTGCTCAAACAAGGTCACATCCAAGCGTATGCTGGTGATTTTGCCAATAGAGCAAAATCTGCACTTCCATACTACAGCGCTGCACGATTGGAGGCGCAGTCATACATTGCATTGTGCAGAACCGAGTTGGTGGTGGAGCAAGAAAAGCTGGGTCGAACATCTACAGCCAGTCTTCGCGATGTTGACGAGGATGACGAGGAAAACGTCGAGAAGATGGGCCGCATCCCCGTCCTACGGAGGTCACTGCGATCATTCTTGGAGCTTGAGCATGCTGCACAGTTCTTCACTGCTACAGCATTCCACCAAATCAAAGAAGACCCGTTACAAACAGAACCTGGCTCAGAAGACTGGCACGAAAAAGACAGATCTGAGACGACTTACTATGAAGCAGCTAAAGTGATCCGACGTGAGCTTTTGAAAGAATCAAAGACCAGAGCCAAGGAGCAGATGGAAAGGATCAATGCGAAGAAGCCTTTTCATCAGATAGCCAAGATCAGTGACCTTCCAGATCTGGGTGGCATTGAAGCGCGGAGGATCCTTGACACGATAGACAACATCAGCGACTTTTTGAATGCACAAACGGAGCAGATACAAATATGGCGCTCGGAGATTGTCGACATTCTCTTGACACGTTTGATGGATGATGATGATGATCAAGAGACCACTGGCGAGGAGTATGATGAGTCATTGAAGGTCCAGGATGAACTCTACGTTTACATTATGGCTCTGCGCACGCTGGTCGCCGACCGTCATGCTGCTGTGCACGGCCTTCAGGATGCTCTCATCGAACATGAAATGAATGCTGCTGAGAGGCAAGCCCTTAATAAAGAGCCTGGGGCAGATCGTGGACATGCGCCTGAGCTGGTCATTGAGATTGCAAATGTGCGGCGTAGGCTGAAAAGCATGTTGCAAGCTGGATCTTTGAAGGGTGTGATATCTGGCATCCGCTCACTGATTAACAGCGTGCAATGGAAGGCAGAAGCTGGCGACGTACGCGCCGCTTCGGAACTGACCATACTTCAGGAGCAATTCAAGAAGGTACAAGCTATCGCTACGGATCAAGCAAAGGCCATCACCGAGTTGGAGAAAGAGCAAGAAATGTTTCGAACCACTATGAACCAGCGTCTGGAGTACTACCGACAGTTCCAACAAATTTCTGACACGGTTGTCAAGTATAAGGAAGACCTCGACGCGACTTTTGATGCCCGCGCTTTCAACGAGGCGGAGGCCCTGCGAGCACAGAAGAAGGACAGTGCAGCTGGTTTCAAAACAAAGTGCACTTACCTGAAGCACCTCCGAAGTGAGAACCAGAAAGAAGTCACCGCTGAATGCATCATCTGCCGAGAAGACATTGAAATCGGCCTCCTAACAGCCTGCGGCCACAAATACTGCAAAGAATGCATAAATCAATGGTGGCGCACCCACCGCAGCTGTCCCACTTGCAAGCAAAAACTTAGCTCCTCTGATTTCAAAGATATTAGCTTCAAGCCCTCTGAAATCAAAGCGCAAGAAGAGACTACATCCGCAAGTTTCAAACCTCAAATACAAGCAACCTCTTCTTCATCTTCCTCCTCCTCATCTTCCACATTACCCTCCGGCCCCTCCTCCAGCCCCTCATCACCCTCCATCTACTCCTCCATCAGCAACACCACCATGCGTGAAATTCGCACAATCTCCCTCACTGGCTCCTACGGCACGAAAATCGATATGCTCGCCCGCCACCTCCTCTGGCTCCGCGCCAACGACCCAGGCGCAAAATCCATCCTCTTCTCCCAATTCAGCGACTTCTTCCTCGTACTCCGCGACGCATTCAAGAAATGGAAAATTAGCGCTATCAGCACCGCTGACCGCGACGGCATTCAGCGCTTCAAGTCGGATCCGAGCGTCGACTGCTTGTTGCTCGATGCGAAATCAGATTCTTCGGGGCTGACGCTGGTGAATGCTACGTACGTTTTTCTGTGCGAACCCCTGATTAATGCGGCGATTGAGTTGCAGGCGATTAGTCGGGTGCACCGGATTGGCCAGATGAGGGGGACCACAGTGTTTATGTATCTTGTGGCGGGGACGGTGGAAGAGGCGATTTACGAGATTAGTGTTAAGAGGAGGTTGGAGCATATGTCTTCTTCTTCTCGGCGGGATAACGACAAGGCGAAAGGAAAGGAGGACGGTGTGGAGGGTCTGGGGGAACAGGCGCTTGATAAGGCGAATTCGGCGGAGTTGGAAAATGCGTCTTTGACTAATTTGCTTAGGAAGAAGGGGGATGGCGAGGTGGTGCCCGAGCATGATCTTTGGCATTGTTTGTTTGGGAAGAAGAGGCGGAGTGGTGGTGAGGAGGTGGTGAGGACGGAGGTGGAGAGGGTGGTGGATAGGGAGTTGAGGGCGGGGGCTGTGGAGGCGAGGGTTGCGGGTGAGGATGAGGTTATGGTGGATGTGTAGTGGGGTCGTGGTGGAGGTGGA